GGGGCGTTACAGCCTTTACTTTGAAGGGGACAAATCCTCCTCACTTTAACATATGTTTCTAATAATTTCTGAGAAAGTTTCTATTTTTTTTTTTTTGATAAGAGGTTGAAGGTCTTTATCCCTCTATCCAAAATTGTATTTTGTGTTTTCAGGAAGCAAATAGAGTTGTTTTCTTTTGGCAATTTTTGAAATAATTTCTACAGAATCTACCCAGGATCATGACAATACTATCAAGAACATGTAAAATGTGTTATGTGTAATATTGTACCACAGCAATAGCTTTCCAAAGAAGTATTTTTTATTATTATTGTTTTGGTTTTTTTGGCAGCCACCAATCCTAATACAAAACAACTTGTAACAAACATGTTACAAACATTGGTCCTTGTTTATAGGCCTACCATGGGGTATTTCTTATGACATGCAGAAGCTGGTAATGACTCAACACAAAATAATTGAAGAATTGTCTTTAATGTTTTATCAACTGTACAAACAATACAAACATTGGAAGAGAGAATGGAAAAAGGGACAGAAAAGCAATATGTATGACATAGTAAAACAAAAAAAGCATATAAACTCCTATATAAATGCAAACTATTAACAGTGAATAATAGGTCAATTGAATGAATGGTTGCTACACTTGCTTCAAAGTACAAAAGTGAAATACAAAAACGTTAAGCTCAACACCGGTGGCTGCATAAAGTTTACAACACTTGTAATTCACATGGTAATTTGGCAGCTGCTGCTTGGACATAAAGTGAAATGATGTAACAAAAAGCTGTATTTTATGAATTATTACCATTACATTGTAAAGTATTGCTGAGGGTCAGAGGTCATTTTATTATTTTAAAATAGAACAACTATTTACTAATTTTATCTTTTCTTCCTTTTTTTTTTTTATTTAAATTGAACATTTCTCTTTTTTCTGTTGTACAGTTTAACTTTCAAAATATTATTTTCATAGTATTTTGTCTTGTGTCTGCTGTTCACTTGTTTTTGCCACTGTCACATCTGAATTTCTCCACTCTTGGGTAATAAAGGAGTTTTATCTTATCTTAGCCAATTCTTAGATATGTTAGCTTGTAAAAAAATGTTTCAGGATGTGAGACAAAAAAACCTATGACATGACTGTTTTTATAACCGCCCCCAAGCAACGCTTAACTTAAGTCCTAACTAACGGGAATAATCGCAATAAAATTATTTTAGGTAAAATTTGATTAAGAAAGTTTTTCTTTTGAAAAACATGTTATTAAGTCCTATGTGAATTGACCTCTTTTGTCACAGCTGCTTGGTAAAACTCAGTTCCCAAATAAAGATAGCTAAAATAGCAATATGTTGGTGAAGGTTCTTCATCCAGGTCATAGTGAATCCAAAAAAAAAAGAAAATTAAAAATAATCCACTGGACTTTGTTTCCAAGTTTAAAGACGTTCCGCTTCCCATCCAGAAAGCCTTTTCAATTCAAAATGTCATGGATGGCATTGAGTTCGAAGTTTTATACAGTACCCCAACAAAGCCTTGTTTTTGGGGTCGTTTAGACTGCAATATCTCATATGGCTATGGAGAAGATCAAATTAATCAAATTAAGGATTTTCTCCAAACACAAAATCCTAGTACATTTCAAATCAAACAACACCCTTAGACAGAGGCTAGTCCATCCAACGGACAAAACCCCCAAACCAAATATGAGCTGATGGTGTATGCAGTTCAATACAGTGAGGAATTTCTCTGATCTTAATATTGGAGAAACCAAACAACCTCCACAGA